TTATTTATCTGAGACAGAGAGAATGAGAGAGAGAGAGCACATGAGAGGGGGGAGGGTCAGAGGGAGAAGCAGACTCCCCGCCAAGCAGGGAGCCCGATGCGGGACTTGATCCAGGGACTCCAGGATCATGACCTGAGCTGAAGGCAGTCGCTTAACCAACTGAGCCACCCAGGCGCCCCAAAAACTTGAAATTCTTCTATTTAAGGTTAATTACTGTTGGGATACAGCTAATGCATTGCTTAGAGACGAATCTATAGCTGTAAATGTCTATATTGAAAAGAAGAACAATCTCAAGTCAATAACTTAATCTTCTACTTTAAAAAACTGGAAAAGAGCAAAGTAAACCCAAAGTAAGCAGAAGGAAGGACATATTAATGAATAATAGGAGTAAATGAAATACAGAGTAGAAAAACAATGAAGAAAATCAAGGAAAACAGAAGTCTGTTCTTTGAAACAAAGTTGACAAAGTTTTAGCTAGAATGACCAAGCATAAATGAGAGAAATCAAGTTACTAAAATCAGAAATGAAAATTGGGACATTACTACTGACATTTTAGAAATAAAAAGAATTACAAGGAATACTATGAACAACTGTATGCCAACAAATAAACTAACGTAGATGACAAGTTCTTAGAAACATGCAAACTACTGAAATTGATTCAAGAAAAAATAGAAACCTTGAATAGACCTATAACAAAAAAAACATTGAATTAATAATCAAAACCTTCCTATAAAGAGAAACCTACATCCAAATGGCCTCACTGGTAAGTTCTACCAAACATTTAGGAATTGACATCAATTCTTCCCAAACTCTTCTGAAAAATAGAAGAAAAGGGAATATTTCCCAACTCTTTCTATGAGGCCAGTATTACCATGATACCAAAGCCGGTGAAAACACCACAAGAAAGGAAAACTATTGACCAATATCTCCTGTGAATCTAGATGCAAAAATCCTCAACAAAATACTAGCAAACGGAAAATAGCAATGTATAAAAGGATTATATCCATGACTAAATGGGATTTATCCCAGGAATGCAAGGTTTGTTCAACATATGAAAATCAATCACTGTGGGGCACCTGGGTGGCTCAGTTGGTTGGGCAACTGCCTTTGGCTCAGGAGTCCCGGGATCGAGTCCCACATCGGGCTCCCTGCTCAGCGGGGAGTCTGCTTCTCCCTCTGACCCTTCCCCCTCTCATGCTCTCTATCTCATT